TTATAAATTTATAAAATTTAATCCGTACTTTGGCAGCTTTATAATCTTATCTGTAGGCCAAAGTAAGGATTACATTTTATAGATTTGTGATTTTGGTTTTAATTCTTGTATATTTTATAGCTATCAGGGACATGGCTATACTGAAAGTTTATAGATGCTGTGTCCATTCCATGGTTGTATAAAAAAAATGAATAAACAAATTTATTTTGTTTTGGATACTTTTTATAGCAATTCTACGAATAACCAACGATCCATGATTTCTGTTAAAATTTTGATTTTGTTTCCCATATATATATAACTCAGCAAAAAGATATTTTCTATGTAAACTTTTAAACTCAGGAGGTTATATTTTAATCTAAAATGTAGGCAGTAGTTCCATCTTTATAATTCAAAATTTCCGTTTATTTGGGTCCCCCGGTGGGGCAGCAGCAAGTCTTCGGATTTACAACGCTAAAATCAGGGTTCGATTCTCCTCCGTGGACACAGCAAGATATCCCGAAGTGGCTTTGCTACAAAAAAAACATACACAAATAAAAATGGTCACCCGGTGGGATAGTGGTAGGTCTTCGGATTTACAACGCTAAAATCAGGGGTTCAATCCCCCCTCGATGAACACAACAGACAGCCTAGTGTAGCTTTGCTATGAGAAACTCACACACACTCCGTTTATTTGGACGTTTATAATGGTTACCCGCCGAAAACTCGAAAAAATAGTTTCAATGCCATGAAATGCCTTAGTTTGCCTTTAAATATTTCATTATTTTACGTTTTGAGTTTCAAACAGTAACCAAAAATCATTAACATCTATTGAGACCTTAATTTCTAGACCAAAAAATTGATTCGTTCGTATTAACAGTATAACTCATTATTAAGTAGAATGTAGTAACATATCATGAAAGTTTGTATTAACAGTATAACTCATTATTAAGTTGAATGTAGTAAAATATCATGAAAGTTCGTATTAACAGTATAACTCTTTACTTAGTTGAATGTAGTAAATCATCATGAAAGTTCGTATTAACAGTATAACTTTTATTAAGTTGAATGTAGTAAAATATCATGAAAGTTCGTATTAACAGTATAACTCTTTATTAAGTTGAATGTAGTAAAATATCATGAAAGTTCGTATTAACAGTATAACTCTTTACTAAGTTAATGTATTAAAATATCATGAAATATATTTGAGACATGTAGATGTTATGTAGACACATACAGACAGACAGACGCTACGGATGAGGATAAATGTGAGTAATGTATGTCGTACCAGTACTATAAATGATAACTGTAAAGCCTGCACTTTTATCGAAATAAACCAAACATTAACTCATTAAGCTGAGCTTATGGTTGGCGTACCGGGCTGTGGACGGAGGGATCTAACGTTTAAGTTGTGGTACCGCTGAATAAGGTCAAAGGGAGAATAATCAGTCAGCACAGCCTACGCAGCTTTTATTGTGGCGGCGTGTGCTATTGACTAGCTGCCTTTCCTCTGATCAGAAGCTCAAAGCTATAATCTGAAACATAGAAGACTCTGGCCTGATCAATTAGTCCATCTGTCCTACAATTAGTCCATCTGTCTTACAAGGTGCTTTCACGTTTGGAAATTCCAATTCCCATTAACGTTTTGTGTTCGGACTGTTTGTCCATACGCACCCAGAGCTAGCCCATATAAATAAAAGAGGCCGACCAACCCGTAAACAGAGCGTTAAAAAATTTTACTTAACAATGAAATTGGTTCACTTTAAGATAGTTATTTAAAATGTTAATATGTAAGAGAGAAAAGGATTTTTTAACACCACTTAAAGACTTGCGTGACATTGTATGTCTTCTATGACATCCTAACAAATATTTGGCAGCACTTAGTTTCAATGAAGCTGTGTTATTTTAGTTTGATCTATTCCTACGTTTTTAATAAACAATTTCATAACACTGTTATTAATTTCCTGACGAATTTAATGAATGTGTCGAAAGGTTTAATACATAATCAAGCGTTTGACGTGTTTACTTCTTCTCTTAACCTCAAAAATTCGATTTATCAACGCGTTTTAAACAGTTTTACAAACTAAAGCTCCCCCACCCCACCCTCGTCAGTTGCACAGCGGCAAGTCTGAGGGCATTTTGACGCTAAAAATCAGGCTTCGTTACCCGTAGTGGGCAAAGTACAGTTAGGCCATTGTGAAACTTTGTGATTAGCTAAAAACAAGTAAACATATTTCAACCCTTTGAAACGTTTCAAATCAAGACCAAATACAAGTCTTGGATTGTTATACAGTCACTTAATATGACTTTGACATTCAAAAGTTTAGTGACGTTATAAGAAATTTCTCTTGCAAAAAACACACAGAGAAGAAGACGTTAAAGTGACGTATAATATCTGTATTATTATACAGTCACTTAATAAAACTTATATAACTACGTCTCATGAGGCTTGTACGAAGTCCGACTAGAACAAGATAGTACACCACCCGAACATAATATGTTATTGAAGGTCCAACTTAATTGAGATATTTCTCCATTTAATTAATATTGTATTACCTGCCCAACCTCTATGATGACTGGCCTTGTCTTTAATCTTCGCACATATATAGCTTTCAATAACCATTGAGCCATACATATTTTATCACACTTCGCTATTTGCTGTAGTGGTCGTTCTTGCTTACAGCGCCATCTCCTACAAGCGTAGAAAGTGTAAACTACAGAACAAGAGGCGTCGCCTTGTGTTAGTAATGATGTTAATAGAAACTGAAACCAACGAGTGAATCATTGACTGTGTGAAAGTAATATAAATAATTGTTTTACTGTTACTTAATGAACAGTTTATTAACCAAAGGACAGAGCCAAAGCATAAGTTTTTGTATATTAGCTCTAGCAGTGTTAATCAAATACCGCTACTGAACTGTGATCCATATTCAGTAACATATACCATTACTTTAAATAAATTAAAAAGAAAAAATAAAGTAATAGATACTTTGAGTAAAACACATAAGCTGAAGAGGCTATCTATTACGTCGCTCTATTTTAGCGGTAACTATTTATTTCTTAAGCCTACATTTTGAAGTATTTCAGAAAATAACCAGATCTGGAGCAGAAGTAAGCTAAAATAAAATAAAAATCATTAAGAATATTTTGCAAACACGTAATTCAACTTTTATTTTCTGCTTTAAAAACAAAACAGAGAGAACTCTTTGACATCGAAGTTCTTGCGCTGCAGATCTGACTCAGTGTTTGTTTTATTGAATTTCGTGCAAAGCTACTCGAGGACTACCTACGCTAGCCGTCCCTAATTTAGCAGTGAAAGACTAGAGGGAAGGCAGCTAGTCATCACCACCCTGCCCCACCGACAACTCTTGGACTGTTCTCTACCAAAGAATAGTGGGATTAATCAAGACATTATAACTCCCCCCCCCCACCACGTCTCAAAGGGTGAGTATGTTCGGTTACGGGGTTCGGTCCCCCAACCCGCAGATTGCAAATCGAGTGTTCTAACCACCAGGCCATGCTACGCCCCCTGACTCAGTGACTAATAAAATACGAGCAAAATTCAAATAAATGCATTGGACATAATCGTTTCAGGGAGCAAGAGTTTACTTGCGCCGTGGTATTTGCATTTTCATATGTCATATTCGTAGCCTGAAATTAAATCACATGGTGACTGGGTTTAATAATGTCACGTGAAGAGCCGTAAACTAGACCAGAACAGCCAGTAAGAACGTTTCACTGCACATACCAGTCATCAGAAAGTCATGCGAAAGCACTTTATTATACTTGCATATCTAATGACCAGACGGTTGATGGAATAATTGTGTCTTGATGAAGAAGGAGATAAACAGTTTTATTTCTATTTCTTTTCAAATGAAATAATAACAGAAAAAAATATATACACTGGGGAAATATTAACCAAAAATAATTGACTATGTTAAAGTTATGTTGCTAATTAATATATCTCAGACTAGAGGTATCAGTTACATAAGAAGTGTAAATTGTGGTTAGTTTTCATTATCTTTTAGTTTATTGTCTAACCATCTAACAGCTTGTTTGTCTACCTCGACAACTACTGTTATTGATGTAATAATTTCAAATGTATTTATTATTTAAATTAGTTGAAGATATAACCAAATTACAAGAGATTACGTAATAATACACGATACCCACAGCCGGTGCTTAATTCTTTGACATTTGGATGTAATGTTCTTTAGTTAAGCAAATAGACATTTTACGTTATCTTTTGACACACACACACATATCTAAATCTTGTATCGACGGCTGAAAGTACTTCCCATTTGGAGTGCATAAAAATATTTATCGTTTAATAAAAGCACTTTGATCCATTTGTTATCCCCTTGTTTGTTATCCATTTTTCTTTGATTGATTGAATAAAAAGAACTAGCGAATTTTCTAACGAAGTGCATTTATATAAGGCATTAAGAGAATCAATTTCTGATCATAAAGCAGTGATGTAACTTATGCGTTTTGTTTTCTAATGTCAAAAACTTCATGGTTTTCGAAATTATTTCCAAAAACCAAATTAAACGTGTTTTAGCGATAGTTATTTTTCAAATTTTAATTTCAAAATAAACTTGCAAAGGCGGATTTTTTTTTGTTGTCTGTTGAGCACAAAACTGCACAATGGACTGCCCACTCCGTGCCCATTGCAGGGATAGAACCCTGAACTTAAGCATTATGAACCCTCAAGCTTATCGCTGATCCACCTGGGTGGAGTTGCTAAACCGATTAATATTAAATTAAGTTCTGCTTTTATCAAAACATCAACTATACATTACAAGTACATCATTTATTGTACAACTTTATTTTATTAGAATGTTTCTGAAAAAGAAGATATAATAATGTTTGATTCCTTTGATCTAATGTTTGATCTATTTCTCTACTTTAGATCGCTTTAGGGGACAGCATCCGTTCTTTGGAATCCCTCGTGCAGTGCAAAAAATTAATAAGTCTAGCCTAGATCAAAGTAAAAGATTGGATGAATGCATCCGTTCTTTGGAATGATATCCATTCATCAGTAACCCTGATCTAGAGCAAAGCAAATGTTTGGAGCCAATAACTCTGGCCTAGAGTATGGAAAATGTTTAGGGATTACACCCATTCCTCAGTAACCCTAACATAGAGCAAGATAAAAGACTGGATGAATGCACGCGTTTTTCAGTAACCCTGATCTAGGAGTAAAGCAAAAGTTTGGAGGCAGTAACTCTGGCCTGGAATAAGGAAAATGTTTAGGGATTACACCCATTCCTCACTAACCTTAGCCTAGAGCAAGATAAAAGACTGGATGAATGCATCCATCCTTCAGTAACCCTGATCTAGAGTAAAGTAAAAGGTTTGGGAATGCCATCCATTCTTTATTACTTTTACTGGTTTATAGGTGTTTTACTTAATCCCCATTTTCTCCCTTCTCTTTGGATTTTTCAAGAATTTGGAGAAAAAATTAAAAAAAAAACTTTTTAGGAAAAAAAAAACACCTGGTAATACCCCTCCCCCCAAGAGTTTGTTTGTTTGTTTGAAGTTAAGCACAAAGCTACACAACGGCCTGTCTGTGCTCACCACGGGTATCGAAACCCGGTTTCTAGCTTTGTAAATCTGCAGATATACCACTGTGTCAAGAATGGAAAATTATATAGACCAAAGATACGTCTTTATTTATGTTGACTTTCACTATTGAAACAAGCTATAAAAATAATTTAAAAGCTATCACGATTCCTGTTACGACCTCGAGGCTAATCTGATATTTTAATAGATTTGAAACCTATCGATAACAGTAGTCGTTTTTTTTTTTTTAATTAACGCTCGTGGGAGTCGGTTCTCCAATTACATGTACATTCTGTCATAGTTAGTGTTACTGGTAGCGTTGGAATCGACCAATCGAGTCAATTTTTCTTCAAAAAAGAAAAAAAAAGTAGGTTCATAGTTCTCTGGCCCCAAATTCTAATTCGTCCTCACCTTATCGCGTGTAGTATAAGACTCCATAGTGCATATTTTCCAACGAATGAATACTGTTTTATTTAAAAGTGAACGTCATGCTAGATGAATGTCCTCGTTATAGAATTTTAAATTAAATATTTTCCAGACAATTATTAGTCTTTCAGATTAACGATTACGGATTAAAATTAAGGACAAAGTTGCTTAAACATGTCGTCTTCGTGGTATATGGTCCCCCAGTAAGTTTACGAACTTACAAAGCTAAAATCCGGGGTTTGATTCCCGGTGGTGGGTGGGTGGTTGTGTATGTGTGTTTTTTTATAGCAAAGCTACATCGGGCTATCTGCCGAAGACTTACCGCTGTCTCACCGGGGGACTCCCGTGATGGGCAGAGCGCAGTTAGACTATTATGTAGCCTTGCGCTAAAAAAAAAGAAATAAACTAACAAACAAAAACCAATCATGGTATATGCATCCTCGTAACCTGCACTCTCGTACTAAAAACCATAGAACAGGCTGGAAATTCTAATAGAACAATATAATTGAAAAATAATGCACCCAGTAACATCTAACCGATTATCTTTGCTATGAAATAGTTCACGTGGTCAGTCACGCAAGTAACCTGGAAGTCGTTACGAGGATAAATGAAAATGTAATTAAAAGAGTATTGAATAATGATCAAACTTATTTAGTCAAATAAAGTATCTTATAGTGTAATAAAACATGAAATAAAATGAAACTTATTTTAGTTTGTTTGTTTGTAATTAAGCACAAAGCTACACAATGGGCTATCTGTGCTCTGCCCACCAAGGGTATCGAAACCCGGATGCTAGCGTTGTAAGTCCGCAGACACACCGCCGAGTGGTAGAGAGAATATATAGCATAGATGTATTTTGATTAATTCTTCTGCCTAGGTGTGGCGTCATAATGCTATATACATTTCAGATTCTTCGAACGTATTTCATAGCTAATACAGTGACTATTAGCAGAAATGCTTCTTGAGAATTACATTGGACAAATAGTTAAGAAAATATCTGTTACTTTTGTCCTTGGAAACGAACTTATTTTAATAATTCTTTCAAAAATAGCTCCCATTCCCAGTGGCTCTGCAGGTTTACGAGGCCAGAAATGGGATTTCAGTACGTGTTGTGTGTGTAGAGCACAGATAGCCGATTGTGTAGTTTTGTGCTTAGAAACAACAACAACATTCAGATATACCGCATGTGACACTTTTTCTATAGAAAATCCGTGGTGTGTTGTCGTCAACACTAGGAAGAAATGGGTTAATTTTGTTTTATTTTTCATTTTCAAATGCGATAACTCTTTGATAACTCTTAATCTTTATACGCGGTTATCTTCGCATAACGGTTAGTCTTACATTCTCGTGTAAAGCTTATGATTTCAACAATGCTGAAAATCCGAAACTAAGAAACATTGAGAAACGTTTCTTTCACGAAGAAACTACGTTAATCTATATAATTTTTAATTGTTATAAAATGCAAAAGCGCTGTTCAACAGAAAAAAAAAATGAATTCCTAAATGCAAGTTTAAAAGAGTGAACAAAATAAATGTTGAAATTCTTTTTGGAAAAAACAAGTCAAAACTGACTAAAGAATAAAATGCCAGCTTAGAGATGTATTTTTGTTTCTAAGGACTTACTTCCATAACTGAAGTTACACTGGTGTCAGCAACAGAGGGCGTTACTTCATCCACAGGCTGCAAGGTAACATGAGAAATGGCGTTTCCATGGTGGTCAAGACTGGACTCAGAAACGCCGTCATTGCTAGACATATCTGTGACATCTACTTCCAGTGAAGCTGACCCTCGAGACTCAGACCTGTATGTGTCAGATATTTCTCCACAAGTTGTTGTTGTGTCAGCAGTGGTGTCACATAGCGGTGGCTCCATCTGAAACGGTCGATTCCCTGTCTTACTCACAGGTCGAAACGCTGATGTACGAGGGTAGGTGTTTTCTGGACTTTTTACCTGAGATTGTCTTGGCTCCACTTCAAACTGTTGTTTTCTAACATCTATATCTGAAGTTGAAGAAAGAAAAGGAGTTTGGGTATTCAAAGACAAAGAGCGTGGTATTCCATTTTCAACAACATTTTCCCTGTAATCCATGGAAGAGGTACTAGAACCTCGGGGCCAGAACATGGGTCCGTAGGGTAGCGGAAAAGATTGCTTCCCAGCCCACATGTATTCAGCAAAACACTGTCTAATATCAGAGGCAGAGAACGGTTTACCGGCTGTGAAGTAGAAAGGTGGAGAAGGTGCAACAAATGGGGGTGCTGATGGAACATGGTAACCCTTGTTAGGAAAAGGAACAACTGGTAGATATGGAGATTTGGAACCGTCAATAGGAGGGCTGAGTGAGGAGCCGTGCTTATCAGGAGGAGGACCAGAGAAACGCGGACGTTTCGTTTCGTGGTTCCTGGAGGAACTAGCTACCGAAGAAGCCATGACACGCTTTCTACTTCCGCCATTAAACATGGCTTTCACGTCTTCCCACGCATGGACTACTTCATCTGGTGGCGTCCCACTTAGCTTGATATGCCTTCGCCAAGAGTTAAAGTTGGCGGCGTCCGGCTGGACGTACTTGGAGTCCGAGAAGCGATGGGAGTGGAAGACAAATTTGTTGGGAGAGAAGAACAGGCTGCAGTAAGCACACTTAATGCATTTGGCACGGGAGCTGTTATAGCGCGAGGGCACGAAGTTTCCTCGACAGCCCCAAGCGCATTGATGGTAAATGTCAAAAGCAAAGTTGTCTGGGAGCTTAGGGGGTGCAACATCTACCAGGAAAGATTTGCACAGCCTTTCAGCTTCTCTTTTGGAAATCATGCCGCAGCGTCGAGACGATACCGGCATGGCCCCGGCACGACGTAACAACTCCAGCTGGACAGGAGTGCACTGAACACACGTGATGCCCAATGCCACTCGTCGATTGTGAATTTCGTTATAACTGAAGTCCTTCAAGAGAGTATTGGAAATCTGGGCCAGACAAAGTCTTTCTTGACCGTCAATAACTAGTGCTACTATAGGTACCCCATACAATACAACAGATCGGACCTCATTATTTCTAGCTCCTTTGAGAGCCTGGTTTGCTTTGGAGATGATCATTTCAGGACCGTTTGGTGCAATAGAAGGTGGAGGTGTCGGAGGATCTTGTTTTGGAGCTCTTGGATCCTGTTGAAAAAAAACGAAACAGAAAATTACATATTATAGCTTTCAGAAGTAGAAAATATTTATATAAACTGTGTGACATCCAATACAAATTAATGGGGCGTGGCCGACTGTCAGCCACAGCAAATAGAAAACGCTGAATCACTTTTCCCTAATATTGAGCGTTGGGTAATTAACACGTCGATAACACAATCAAGTTGAACAGTTTGACTTTTATCACGTACGTTAGGCTTGCTAAGTAGCGAAAAAAAATCATGGTTTACGATCCATATGAAAGGTACATATATTTTATGTACTGTTGGTAAGGGTAACTCGCACATTAATGAGAGTATGATGATCAATTATTTTGTACAACGATACCATACTGTTAACATGAAACTCTTCGTACCAAATACGTAATCTAACCGCTGATCGTTATTTTCAAGAAAAATGTTTGTTTGTTTCTTTAAGCACAAAGCTACAAGCGCATCATATACGCTCTGTTTACCGCGCGAAGTTTCACATTAATTTATTGCTGTCACAGTGAGGACTGAACTAAAAAAAACTAATACTCAGTTTTAGAATATAAACTTTAGCCCATACAGAGAGCGTTACTAAGACGCTAACTGGTAAATTATGAGTTGTTGCTTTCTTCTAAGCACAAATAGCTATATCTACGCTGTACCCTTTGAGGGTATCGAACCTCGATTTCAGTGTTATAAGGCATAAGACTTTAAAAATTAATGAAGTATGCTTTTCAAAACCTTCCAATCGAATAAATGTAACGAATTGTATGAATTATACACTAGCAGAAAGTTTTCTTAGACATAATTAGAACACTAAAATCCAGTGTTCGGCTCCTGTGTGGACAAAGCGCAAATAACTTGTTGTTTAGCTTTGTGCTAAAAGAAACAAATAAACTACTAATCAAAATTTAAAAATATGCTAAAAGTCCTAGCTGGAGTAGATTTTGAGAGAGATAAATCATAATTTCAAAGCTTTTCGTTTTGGGTCAAAAAAGTTGGCTAAATCTTGACAACAACAAAATAAATAAACCTAAATAAACAAAACTTATAATGTAATATAGTTCACTTAGTGGGAATCTGTGCCAGACCTATTAAAGGATGCAATACATCAAAACATTACACACATATTAAACAAGAATAGAACACTATAAGTATTGAACATCTTGGTATATAATTTAGCAAATGATAAAAAGCATTAATTTTTACCCACATTGGCAAAATAACACACACACACACACACACACAAAAAACGCTCTCTCTGGACAAATTACTTTCTCTCTCAAATTAAAGGAGAGTTTCATTGGAAATCAATGTTCAACACTGTCATTTTGACTAAGAGTTTAATGTAAAGTCATTATATAAAGTACTACATTTGACAACCAATACGAAACCAATACCTAAAAGAAAGGCAAGTTAATCATTTACAAAGTATATCCATGTATGTATTGCTACATACAACAGCACGTCATATAGAAGTTGAAGCAGAAATTTTACAACGTATTTTTATGGTTTATTGAAATTCAATGGAATATATAACTCTTAATGTATTTATATATATATATGAGCTAAATGTTGGGAAAATTCTCGTGCTAACTATCACTCAATATAAATATTTCTATAAACATAATCGTGAAGAATATTCGGGTAAATAACAAAAGAATGATATGTTTGCCGAATGAAATTGTGAGATCGCTGAAAGACTCCTCGCTTCTAAAATTACTTTTCTGGTGTCGTGTAAACAGCTCAACAAGAATGAGAATTAATAAAATTCAACAATTCGTAAGGGAAAATGGTTTCCTTTGTGGTTGTTGTTTTTTCGTTCTTTCTTTTTTTTTACAATTTAAATGAAAGTTTTCGACGAAATTATGTTTCGATTACGGCAACCTTAGTATTAGTTTTTCAATGTAAATGAATAACATAAAGGCTCATTCTGCTTATACTAAGTCCTTCCAGAAGTATTAGTTGAATATAGAGCATGTTTGGGATAACGGTTTTTCAAAATCATCACGTTTAATAGTGCCGAAAATGATAAGCTCTAACTTTTACTTATCTGAAAAACGTACGCTTCTGAATAACCATGATTTAATACTCACACTCAAAATAACTTGAAAAAATATGTAAATCTATAAAGAAAGTATATGTTTTATACTAAAAATTCAAAACAGAAAAAAATTATATTGCTAAAAGTTTGTTTTTGTAAAATAAGTTGACAAAACTATCCAATAATTTGATATTTACTTATAGCAACCAAACGTGAAAACACTGAAATCATATTAAAGAAGCGACACTTATAGACTAACTGGCTCCCTAAGAAAATATTTATTCACAACAATCAAAATGAGATAATGTTTCGAATAAATAAGCCACAGAGGCTCGGCTTCACATTAACCAATGGAATTAGGCTTAACGTGACTTAAGCCTATTTTATGATTAGAAATGCATTGTTGCTTGACTTGGATTTATTCATAAAAACTTCAGAATCATGGTAACGTCAACGTAAAAACTCGTATATAGACTATGCAATATAAAGTTCTGAACTCTATTTTTAGTTTCATCCTCCATTCTTTGTGTACAATATTATTAAATAATTATTCATATTGAACTTTCAACTTTTTGTTGTCACAATTCTAATACCTAAGTTGCTGGATTGAATTTGAACTTTATGTACATAAGAGAACTCAAAATATCACACATTAAATTTGAAAACATTTCAAAATGCATGAGCGAAATTCGATGTTTTTGACCTTACTATTACAATTAGTAGTATGTAGTTTTAATTGTGAGTAAAAGGCAAACTTCAAAAAATTTCTATGGCCACTCAGTCTTAAGTTATCAGTTGGGAATCTTTGCAGTTTCCGCGAAGTGGCTTCATTGGACGTGTAGCTGTGAGGAAATCACTGCATACAAGAGATTACTGAAATGGACATCAGACCTCAAACAATGGAATAAGCAAAGGCGAAGCAGGATGTTATTTTCAGATGAATCCAAAATGGAGAAGGGTGTTCTTTTCAGATGAATCCAAAGGCGGAGCAGGATGTTCTTTACAGATGAATCCAAAATGGAGCAGGATGTTCTTTTCAGATGAATCCAAAGGTGGAGCAGGATGTTCTTTACAGATGAATCCAAAGGTGGATCATGATGTTCTTTTCAGATGAATCCAAAGGTGGAGCATGTTATTCTTTACAAATGAATCCAAAGGTGGAGCATGATGTTCTTGACAGATGAATCCAAAGGTGGATTAGGATATTCTTTACAGAAGAATCCAAAGGTGGAGCAGAACATTATTTACAGAAGAATCCAAAGGTGGAGCAGGATGTTCTTTGCAGATGAATCCAAAGGTGAAGCAGGATGTTCTTTGCAGATGAATCCAAAGGTGAAGCAGGATGTTCTTTGCAGATGAATCCAAAGGTGAAGCAGGATGTTCTTTACAGATGAATCCAAAGATAGAGCAGGATGCTCTTTATAGATGAATCCGATTGTAAATTGTTTAGAAATATTAAACAATAGTTTGTTCTGTGACAGAGAAAACGATATCAACAATACATCTCAGCCAATGGTATTAGAAATATATACGCAAAACTGAAGACACCCTGACTTCTTAGAGGTATAAAAATTATTATTCATCAATTCTCAGAAACAAGACCCGTTGGATAGGGATTAATCTTAAAACAAGTTAGTAATAATCTCAAGAAAAAATAGAATATGATGAAACGACACCTGAAAAAACAAAACAGATCAATGGAACACTCGAAATCACGGCTTTGCGTAAACAATTGTTTGTTTGTTTGTTTTGAATTTCGCGCAAAGCTACACGA